CCGTGTGAAAACTAATAATAATTGCATTTTCAATGTCAGAGGAAAGAAGTCTCCTGATAACATTGAGTTAGCATTGTGTATGTGTATAACTACAGTGGCTCCGCTAGATATTGATGATAATGGCTAAAGTGTCATTTGATAATGAGTTGAATTTGTATAATGAAGTCGATACATGCCTACTAGAGGCAGGTGCAGAAAGAAGTCGCAGAACTTACCACAGGTCAGTGTTTTTGTAAGAATCTCCCGGCTTGCCAGTGTATCTCGCATATAAGTCTCGTGATACCAGTGATTTGCAGAATACAGTGTTGTATAGTAGCAATAACAGTATTATAATGGTATCGTATGTGGTGAGTGGAGTGACTGTCAATTAGTGTCGTTTTTCTTGAAATACGAGACGTTACTGTGAATATCATAGTAGAACCTGTATTACAGCAGTCGATAAGTTATACCATACTGAGAAAGCAATTTACTACAGAAAAAGCGTCCCTTCCTCCAAAATTTTGCACCAGTTCAACTCTAGTGATTAATTATCGCATTATTCGTGCAGTGGGAGACGGGAAAAAGAGAAAAAAAAAAAGAAAATAAAATAAAAAAAAGAAAAAAAAATGAGAAAAGCCAGATCCCAGCGCATTGATAATTACAAGGAGGTGACCGTTTCGTCATCTGTAGGAGCTTGCCTGTATATCCCGGCTTTCATCACGCAGTTATACTTTTGTATTCAGTCAAATCTCATATATTACTAGGGTAGTTAATCTTTTCTGTAGATCCTTTATGTTGTCTAGCTCAAATCACCGACAGTTAGTTTAAAATAAGTGACTGATCAGAGCAGATCGTCGGGCCCGAACCATAGTGCCTGGTACTCCGAACCCTTGATGGTCCTTGTTACCGGGATTTGTTTTCAAACAGTTTGTTGGACCAAAAAGCGACTGTAAACGGATGGGGGTTGTAGGAGCCTTATAAACACAGCAACATTAAAATTCAGGAACGTGACGGTGACAGCTGTCCAATATACGCAAAAAGAGATTAGAAACAGAAATACATAAATAGCTAGCGCTTCATATTAAGGTTATTAATGACTTTTCAAAGAGGTTGACTAGTTAGACTTGCAGGTAAATTCAACATTCAAATCATTATGGTGAGAGCTGTGTAGTCTGTGGTCAGTCAAAACAAAAACGTGCTTCCACCATTGGATTAAACTTGTCATTTTTGGTGGAAATTGGTGTCACGCCCCTTGTTTGCAAGATATCCCAGACTAGCTTACAGCAGTATTTAAACACAGGAGAAGTGTTTTTGGGTATGTGTCCTTAATGTAGGAAAAAACTGTGGTCTAAAATCTCCAAAAGGGTATTAAATCGGACAACATCAAAGTGATCTTATAGAAAATGGGAAGCTTTCTCACAGATGGGAAGACAAAATGTCTAGGGCTGAATGGTGCTACTGCCTTGATTATTGGCCATGTTGTCATAACATGTAAGGCTGGGTGGGGTTGATGTCCTGGTACTCAGTAATTGTGGAGGCTGATAGGTGCTATGTCTGGGGAGGACAGTAATGGTGAAGCTGCGATGGTTGATCTGTCCTGGGAGTCAGTAATGGTTGGATGAAGCTGGAGGTGTCTGGTCCGGGAGGACAGTAATGGTGGAAGCTGGAGAAGGTGCTTGCCCAGGGCAGACAGTAATGGTGAAAGCTGGAGGTTGCTGCCTGGGAGACGAATGGTTGAAGCTGGGATGGTGCTGTCTGGGAGACAGATATGGTGAAGCTGGAGATAACTTTTCCTGGGAGACAGAAATGGGTGAAGCTTGGAAGGTGCTGTCCTGGGAGACAGAAATTGGTGAAGCTGGACGATACTTTGTCTGGGAGACAGTAATGGTGAAGCTGAGGTGCTGTACTGGGAGACAGAAATGGTGATGATAGCTGGGAAGGGATCCTGTCCTGGGGACTAGAAATGGTGATTGATCGCTGGGAGTATTGGTCAGGGAGTCGGGGAATTTTACGCGCAGGAAGGAATACCTGAATAAATCTGACCGCATAGGGGACAGGAGCTGCATGTAGGGAAACCAAGTGTAGTCAAAGATATATATTAAATCAAATATTGCAAACTAGAATTACGCAGGAAATAGCAACATAAGGACTCCAATAGCAATATGTGGAGGATAAATTACAAAAACTACCTGGTGGGAGCTCCATTGTTGGTGCATAGGGAGGGATAGAAGTAAGACAGGGAAAGCATGCCCCAACAGGAATCAGGTCACCAGGAAACCCATGCACAGCGGAGAAACCATTGACTGTGCACATACTATGCACTTGGTATCTGCTTTCGCATGGGGAAATTGGGAAAACAGATGGGACCTGCAACTATTGACCAGACTAGAAAATGCCCTGCCCTTATTGAAAACAGAGAAAATGCAAGCTCCCTTCCTGTCAAGCTTTTTTCTACCTGAAATGTGTACCTCTTCAGTACAGGATAAGCACGTGGGCTATACTTAAATTGCCAGGCATTACATCTAAGGGGACAAAATAAAGATGTTACAAAACTCAGGGCTCAGGGGACTAGAAACTGGGTAGCCACGCCACTCAAGAGGGAGAGTGTCTTTTTTTAGTGCCAGGAAGGAAGAAAAAAAAACTGGGCAGATTGGCCAAGAAATCCTTACACCAAAATTCCAGTTCTTCTGGAGTGGAATCCACAGTCGATGGCCTCTCCAATCTCCAAAACGCTCAAAGATACAGATCTAATGCGGAAAAATCTCACCCCTAGTACCAACAATACTCACAGTCGATAACTTTTTCTGTTGCAGAAATATACAGGGTCTAAAGACAGCTAAAAAACACAAAGATAGCGCACTTTCATTCCGTGGACTGATTTGCAGAGGCATAAAGGGCAATTTGTTCGCGGCTTTCACTGGACCCACATTAAGGATCACTTTGGACTAAACGAAGTAAGGATCCTCAAGGTTACACTTTACAGATGTGACGCATAGGTGACAGGCAAAAGGGGGGGGTTGGCTCTTGTACATTTGCAGACGTACTGTTTGCACAGAAATGTTTATAGGCCTCAAATGAGTAGTGGGTTTTAGCAGTAAAGGCGCGAGACCCATGAACCTAGGATCTCGCCCCGCCCCCCCCCCCCTCCCCCATCCCCCCCCCCACACAGTACCACTCATTGTGGTAGACTTACAATGCGCCTCCGGTGTTAGCAACATCCCAGCATTTCCAGGAGAACGTGGTTAAAAATTGACACTGATTTGGAAAATCTTCCAGCTCTGCACCCCAACATTTGCTCCTGGGGATTTCAACTTTAAGGCACCTAAAATGGAGGATATAGCAAACTAATATTGTTGACAGAAATACACACCAGGAGGCAGCTTATGATGATAACTCACACTACACGAGCTTTTAAATCTCTGCACAAAATTCAATTTTAAACGCAAATAATAGAGTCCTACAGACTGGAGATTTTTACAATAGACGATCATCTTCACTAAGACAATGATGATCTGCATTAAAAATGTCACCTTCAAAAACAATATACTCAGATCACAACATAATAGTAGTTTCTGACATGTAAGGCTGGAGGCCCCAGACCCGAACCAAAATGAGGATAGTTCATGTAGGGAGATTCTACCAATTCAACTTCAATACAAAAAGAAATAAAGTGGGACCAGATAGGTTAAAAACCAAGTCTAACCGATTATAAGCTTGGAGATATATAAGCAAATCACAGACCCAAATTTTTATGCCTAGAACAGATTAACTCGGTGCACTTTCGAAAGTATGCACAAGCTTATTCCTCTAAGCAAAGGAGGGAGTAGATGTAAAACTAGAAAGCAGAAAAGAGAAAGGCGCTCCCTTTTCAGGCGACGGAAAGATAATCCGAGCGGCTAAAAGAGGTCAATATATCTGAAAATGCCAGGGAGACATGCGTAAGAGAAATAGCAAGCATTCGAAACTTAAGCTAAAAGATCTTTAGAGAGTCAGGAATCGCGGAGAAGTAACTATAAAGCCAATAATGAAATCGATAAGAATACCCAAAGTATTTTTTTCTCCGCTATGCCAATTCAAAATCGAGAACAACGTGCAGTATTGGGCCTCCTCTATAAACGAAGATGGGTACCTACACAGATGACAGCAAGGGAAAATGAAGGGACTACTCAAGTCCGCAATATGAGACTCAGTTTTAGCAAGACGCTAACCAGACTGAGAGTCGAAGACCCAAAATGAAATTTTTTTATGAGAGAGCCACAAAAATTGACTAAACCAGCCTATCGATGGTAATCGCGCTGACGCCAAATGATCTTCGAACAGAGCGATAAATGAGTGCCATGCACTCTGCCCAGGGCAGACTCATGGAACTCTGTTGTTCATCATAGAACTGCAAGAGGAGACCTATCACGAGCATTTTCTCTCCATATCCTATGGAGCGGGTAGCGATGGACACGGGGGTGTCCTAGTTACTAAAAACAAATGGTATCTCAGGACATAGTCCCATCCAAAGGGGGCAGTAATGCTACAGCCTAAAGAACTAAGACCTTTGCACTAACATCCCTCATATCATAAAAAGCTTGGAAGAGGGTCATAAGAAGCAAGATCTCTCACCATCTAGTAAACCATCAGTTACACAACCCAGGGAACACAGGGTTTTAGAAAGGCCGACTACCGGTCTGTCTCAAATACTGGTATCACTACGACAAGGTCCCTAAATGCACTAGAAGACAAAAAGAATGGCAGATGTTAATATATACAGACTTGCTAAAAGCCTTCGACAAGTGTGACCATCGGCGTAATAGCGCACGCAAAATGCGCGCCTAAAGGAAGTATCTGTGCGAAAAGTCGGTCGATGGATCTATAATTTCCTCTCTAACAGAGAAACACAGAGAGAGTAGTTCGTCAACGAGTGAAATGTCGAGGAGAGCTTACGGCTCTGGAAAAGGCTCTTGTCCACACAAGGCACCGTGACTAGCTCCCATCTTGTTCCTCATCCTCATATCGACGTAGACAAAGGATGTTCAGCCCAACACTACCGTGTCTTCCTTTGAAGATTGACCACCCCGATTCTGCATGACGATGTCTTCCATTGACAACACTGCAGCTCCACGGCGGACATCAAACCCAAACTCTTCTGTGGGCTGCAGAAAACAATATGAAGTCATCATGCAGACATTTTCAATTACTCAGATATGGTAAACCTGAGGGAAATTGAACTCTTCATCAGAGTCCAAAACAAATTCTGGCGCACAAAATAGAGCGAAACACTCTCACCGTCAAGATCCTAGGAGTGATTATGTGCGGAGGATTCACCTCTTCAAGGATAGTACACATTGTATCAATCGCATCTGCTAGAAAATATGACAGGATGGATAATGAGAGAACCTTCAAATAGGGATGGCCAGAAGCCCCATGATGACATCTCTTCAGGTTCACTTGGTTCTTTTGCTGGAATATTGCTGCACTCTAACAGCACCGCTTTTTCAAGGCAGGTGAATGAATTGCGCTAGAGAAAATGTTCAGAGATTTCACTCGGCGCGACATAGCGGTGATAACCACCTCAATTAATGGGGCGTATGATGGTTTCTAAACCTGTATTCGCCCTGGGTACCCGCGCAAGGAGGGAGAGATTTAGATACATGGATTATTATTACACCTGGAAATAATCCGATAGAGGGACTAAGTACCAAACTTGCACACAAAATCAATCACTAACGAAAGCATAAGGGAACTGTTGGCAGAAGAGATGCTCCACCATCCCCAATGGAAAAGCAGGGGTTGTCACTAGCACGTTAAAGAGACCATACTAAATAAGTGTCAGGGGCCCGGAGATGTTCAACTGCCTACCCATAGTCTTACACTTAAGGGGGATTACAAACAGACCCCCTGGCAGTCTTTCAAAGTGCTCATGGAACAAGCACCTAAAGCAGTTCAGATCAGCCGGGGCTGTGGCTGTACGTTGGTTGCGTGCAGACAAGCCGTCCAACAGCACTTTGTTGATCAGGCGCTGATCCACAGGAGGTGGGCACGACCGGCAGCGATAGTAGTCCGGGGCGTTGACCCCGTAACTCTTCTCCAGGTAAAACTGCCAGGTAAACATTGTAAGTATAAGGGTGACTCTGGTTCACTGGTTGTATTCTATTTATCACCTCCGCCTTCTTCATGCAAGCACCGTTACTCCGCATCCTCTAGGGCTTTGGCGTAGTCCAAATGTTACATTTAGAGTACATAGATACTCCAGTGGGACTGGGCACCAAAATTTGGATGGTAGCTAAGCAATGTTCTCTGTTGGAAATACACTCCCCGTCAGTGCTACTTGCACCACAGTCACAGCATCAGGACAGCAGTGCTGCTCGATGTCTCACCAGTGAATAGACTTCTTCATATGAAAGATGAGACACTCGTCAGGAAGATTTTTCTCTCTGCCTGCTGTCATTGGCAGAACAATGTTTTTTCTTTGCATACTCAGTAATAGATGCTCCCATATATTGTAAATTCCTGTCCTCAATTGTCGTATTCTTGTCCTCAAATTTGTTTATGTTGCTTGTGGACAGCATTTTTTTATTTACATTTATATATGAATAATTTTTATGTTTCAAGCCTTTTATAGCGTTAAATATATTTAATGTTAGACTAACACACACTAAATTACAATTAAGAGAGAAGAAGAGAGAGAGAGATGATGTTGCGAGAGAGAGAGGATGAGAGATGAGTGAGGAGAGAAGTAAGAGAGAGGGAGAGAGAGAGACGTGAGAGAAGAGAGGAGAGAGAGAGATAGTATATTTTCAAATTTTTACAGGCATCAACAGACAAATGAACCAGCGCTCATTACTCGTCTCTCTTTCTCTCAGCCTTCTGGAAGAGTATTGGAGTTGGGTGGCTTTTCCTTCTTGAACCGCCTCAGAGCTGATGTCTGGCGATAGTACAGGCGCCCGCCGCACACAGACAACCTCCACTTTCCAGTGTCTGCGAGGTGACTTTGGGATCGCAGAGGAAGTTCAGTATGATGGACTATGTGGGCAGGACCCGTTATCTACAATATGTGCCAAGAGTTTCAAGGTTAAAATTAAGTAAGCTAGGCTAGAGAGCACATGAGTACAAACAATAGGGAATCGCAAGGAGGATCCTTGTTTCTATATGTTTCTGTCCTTGGCACCTTAAGATAAGATTAAGATAGGGTTCGTTGCGGATTTTTAACCCCGGAGGGTTAGCCCACCACAGGATACCCATAGAAGTCTCGTGCGTCATCGACGGGATGCTGTCTAAAACTTATTTTCCATTGGGGTCCTTAATCTTGTCCCCAAGGATGCGACCTCTCACACCAGTCGACTAACACCAGGGTACCTATTTGTGCTAGGATGAAAGGACGCAATAGGTGTAAGGAAACGTTTGGGATGTCGGAAGTTTCCACCCGCGGAGAATCGAACCCGGGGCCTGTCGTGTGAGGCGGGAGTTTTGCCACCAGATCCAACCCGGGCATTGGTCATCTACACTTTAATGATTTTATCGTGCAATATATCTGTAATCTGACCTCTATAACCACCTGTCAAGACGTTGAAATATACAACCCAGTTTTCAGAAGAGAGTTAGAATGTCACGTTGTGATAAAGCAAATAATCGCTTCTTGAATTTGGATCTGAGACGTGTTATTAAATTATTTATGTAAAGAAAAAGAATCTTTTTTAAATACTAGGGGCTGCTTTTCAGGTTCAGCTGACTGTGTGAGGGCTGCTTTAAGGTAATGAAGTAAACTTTTAAGCAATGATAATAAAACTTTTTAAGGGTAATGAAAGTAAACTTTTAGATGGTAAGTGAGGTAAAAGGTTTATACGAGTATATGAAAGTTAAACTTTTTAAGGTAGTGAAAGTAATTTTTAAAGGTAATGAAGTTGTGGAAATTTTTAATTTTCCTAAATTCAGCATGAGGTTCAATATGAATAATATAATAGTGTATTAAAAATCTGACGCTGATTTGACCTTCAGAGAAATTTGTTATGTGTAAGGTTTTTTGCGCAGCGGCCGCAGGAGTGAATACATGGAGGAGGGAGTAAAGGAGAATGGAAGATAGAGGAACCATAAGTGTTAAGTAATTTTTGTGAGCTATGGTTTGTTTAATAGTGAAATTTAATCCGGCGATCAATCGTGCATAATTGGGTGTTTCGGCCGAATATTGTAATTGGAACCCATGTTAATGTCCCTGCTGAAAAATTGGGACAGGAAATTTCCGGGACCTCCAGAATTAAGTGTGGATGGTGAAAAATAAGGAGACTATGCCATCACTCTCACAGGTAAGTACGCCACTGTCCTTTCATTTAGATTTCTCGCTGGCCAGTGTAGGTTTCTATATGTTAGGTAGGCGTTTGTGGTAAGATCCAACTACAGTAATTAAATGGTAAGTGATAATACGAATTTCTTTTCTAATAACACTATTGTATTACATGTATTGTACTAATAGTTGTGTACCCAGGAAGCAAACTAAAATAACATACAGTTCCACATAATTTTAATTTCCCGAGTAGCTGTTTTTTTTTGTTACTTATTAATTTAATGTTAAGTCTAGCTTTTGTGAGAGTGGTGAAGGAGTGAGCATCGAGGGAGTGACAGTTCTGTGTCCTACTGTGACTATGTCCCACTTACCTCACATTAATTACTTATATGTAAATATTCAGGTAATACCCTGTAAACCTCATGCAAATAGTTTCTCACAGAAATAAACATAAGTGTTTATACACAGATATAAACCTCTTGGTAATTATATTTTTTATTCTAAATGATAAGAATGTTATGTAATGACTGACAAAAGGGAAAACTACTAAACTAGAAATGTAATAAAACATAGCATGGCAAACCTTGTTCTAAGGCTACGTTTCACCTTAAATAGTAGTTTATCAAGTCAACATATGCTAGGTGGCACAGTGATAGAGTATTCGGCTCACACCCGACGGGACGGTCGGGACCCCCAGTTGAATCCTGGACGAGGTGGGACATACAAGTCAAGTCTAACTAACACATCTCTTCAATCAAAAGTTTACGGTACTGAACAAAGTGATGTATAAAAACGCATGAAGGTGTCTAGTTATCTTTACAGAGAGGCGATACACTGGTGTTGCCCATGTCACCTAGCAGCAAATAGATACCTGGGTGCTAGTCGACTGTTAAGGGTCGCATCTTGGAAAAGGACAAAAAAAAAAAAAATTCCACTGGAAATAGGCATACTGGTTGGGTTAGTCTGGGTTACTAACTCTCTGAGATTACTAATCGTATAAAAATCTCTTTTTCATACTAACAGCATATACCCAAAGGCTCTGCTAGCTGGAGAATTTACTGAGAATTCCTTGCTAACCTTGTGATCTCTAATGTTCCTAACAAAGTCTTGAGGAGTGAAGGCAGGCAGCGAGATGACCTTAGCTCCCAGGTAGAGGGTGATCAAGTTGACAACGTGCATACCATAGACGTGATAGAAGGGCATCACTCCAATGACTGATTCTTGTACTCTTCTGGAGGTGAGAGGCATATGGAGAGGGAGGTAGGTATATAATTTGTTAGGTTTAAAGTTCTCAACTACATATGGGGACATATCTTCTGTACAATAACACCCAAGTATAGTTTAATACCTAAAAATAGAGATTTTAAACCACTGATTGTATATAAATAAAGATATACAATGTCGGTCTAATGGCAGAAATTTTATTTCCAAATTTATATACGAAATAATATATGTTGTATAGGAAGTCAGTAACTGTACTATATATATAATCTCTCTCTTACGTGTTGTTGGCAGGTAAGGAAAGAAATATGGATGAGTGAACATATGGAGGTTGGAGGTGATGGCACCGTGGGAGAGCTCCACACCCTTGGGCTTCCCAGTGGTGCCGCTGGAGTACAGAATCACTGCTGTTGACTTCAGGGGAGACTGAGAGAAAAGTACCAGTGTTTTTTTTTTAAATCAAATCAGGCATATTGTGCTTATCCATCTAAATTTCTGATTATAATATTCAGCTGAACAATTTTCTATAATAAACACTCAACATTTAATAGCAATTTTATTTGCAATAAAGAGGAGAACAAGTTTCAATTCCTTAGATCAAGAGCCGTTCACTTGTACCAACGAGCCTGCATTGAAGAGTTCAATTGTTGGAGAAAAAACTTACCTGAACAGGCTCGGCGAAGGGTTTAGAGGAGTCTTCCAGAATATGCCTGATGTTGGGGTGACCGTGGGCAGAGACACCGCTGATAAAAATAGGAATCGTCTTTTTAATCTTCGTCAAGGCATCTATCAGTATACTCTCCAGTTTGGGGTCAGTCACCAGCATGTCTGTCTCGTTGTCTATAAGCTGTCGTGCAACCTCATCTGCGTGTGGATAAAGTCCATCTCTTGATTCAGCTTAAACTTTTAACTGGCGATAATAAGCCCTATATAGACATAATTTCGAATACCTGTATAGAGTTTCCTTCTACCATTTCATTGTGTGGAGTTGGAGATTAATAATTGTTCAGGATGGACAGAAATATAGCTTAGTTTCTTTTTCCAATTTATGTTACTTGTTAGTCTTTTCATCCTGATTCTAGAACCTTACGGACTGATTCGTGTGTCTTACCGGCAGTATAGCTGGGGCTGACTGTACTGACAGTGGCGCCGGCAGCTAGAGACCCCAGCAGGAGGATGGGAAACTCCGGAGCGTTGACGGAAAATAGTGTCAGTCGGTTCCTTTTGGAGGATGGTGCTGCCAACACCCGAGACACCACGCCAGCCCATCGTAAAGCCTGGTCCACTATATTGCCGTAGTGTACTTCCTTCCCGTTATCCCGCACTCCTACGGAACACGCAAGGGGGATTAGCTAATGGATTACTGTATAGCGTGGCGACAAAAAAGAAGGGAAGCAGTGGAGCCATACGAGTAGTGTGTGTTGTTGACACAGTAAGAAATTTAGACTGGGAATCCTCCAGATCGAACGTACAGTTTATCCCCAGTTTGAAATATATATACATATATATTACATAGTGGCAGATGTGCCACAGGGATTGTGCACTCAATCCCTCAAATGGCAACATCCGTGCACATAATGGATGTCTAGGCTCCCGGAGGGCTCCAAATGGTAATAACCAACAGCCCCTCCCAGAAGACAAAGCTGACAGCTACCGTGATTTCACCACTACAGAGGACCCAAAATCTACAATCAAATTAACATCCACCAAGACGCTGACACATCCACAAACAGCTCGCCCTCAACCTGCTAGCAAATTCGCTGACTTGAAGAAAGTCAATGATACCCCTGCAAACAATGGATACTGGCACAATCTACTGCTATTTGGCAATGTCTGTCTGGCTGTCCCACCAAGGAGGGATAAGTCCCCAGGAACATCTGTTATTAGGGCAATAAATGCATTCCCTAGAGATGACAGCCTCGTCCGTCTTCCCTCTAGGGCGACAAATACCCACCGGGAAAATGCCAACAACAGAACACCTGATGACTCAAAAATCAAAGCCTAAATTAGCAAAAAAATAGAAGAGGGTAATACTACTGGAGCACTGAGGCTTATAACCAGTAAGGATACCATCACCCCCTAAGGGTGTCGTTACAGCACAAGCCCTGAAGGACAAACATCCACCCAGGGCTCCCAGCACTAACACTGACCTCCTTGATATTGCAGCAGGTGAAAAACATTTAACCCTGCAGGACGCTGGTATGTATAAAGCCGCTATGTCATTTCCACAGGGCTCAGCAGAGGTTTCACCGGTTTAAGGCACAACACTTAAAACAAATGTTCAGTTCAGCACTTGGTGATGTTTCAGAGAGGCTGCTGTCTGAACTCACCAAATTTTCCAACGTGTGCCTGGCTGGCAGTGTCTCGGAGGCTATTTGACTCTTCGTCTTTAGTGACTCACTATGTGCCCTCTGGAAAAAGAATGGAAAAGAATGGAGGAATCAGGCCCAGTGCAGTGGGCAACACCCTTCGGCGCCTTGTCGCCAAGGCTGCAGTAAGAATGGTGAGTCAAGAGGCTGCTGCAATGCTGAAACCAACTCAGCTTGATTTTGGTGTTCAACAAGGTTGTGAAGCAGCTGCCCACGCAGCACGAGTATACATCAACAACATGACAGATGAAAAAGTCTTGATCAAATTGGACTTTGCCAACGCTTTGAACTTAGAAGAGATGCTGTTCTCCAAACAGATTTTAGACACTTCCCTTCCCTCTATCCCTTCATACAATCGTGTTATAGTTTGGGAACCATGAAACTGACTCGTGTCTGGTCATCAAGGAAGTCACAGAAGCGCTCTCCAGTGAGCTCAATATCTGGTTCTTGGATTATGGTACCTTAGCTGGCACTACAGAATCTCTCCTAGAGACATCAGAAAAATTAAAGACATAGGAGAGAGCCTGAACCTATCTCTAAACCCCACCTAATGAGAAATAGTGTCTACCAATCGACAGATCATTCAGATTAGTGCTGTGCAAGATAGGTATAAAATACCGACAATATGAAAGTTAACACACATGTGCAACATCTGAATATCTTTATTGTAGACGTTTTCGCCATCCAGTGGCTTTATCAATACAGATTCTAGGACATAATTAGAAGACAGAACTATATACAAAGGATGAGTTAATCAGTCCCTCAGCCTTGAAGTTAGTGTTCATAGCTGCTGTTGTCATACAGAGTGATGGCTCTCTTAAAGAAATTGGAGCACGCATCAATAACTGGGCCTCTACCCTTCAAACAGAACTGTTTGCCATACTCCTTGCACTCAAATGCGTCCATGTGTCTAAGGTTGACACTTTAATTGTAAGTGATTCTCTGTCATCCATAAATGCTCTCAACTCATTAAGTATAAATTGAGGCATGCTTGTGCCAGAAGCCAGACATAGGTGTGGTAAGATTGTGGACAGTGGAGTCAGAGTGCACATGCTGTGGATTCCATCTCACATTGGTCTTCAGATGCATGATAGAACTAATAAATTGGTAGCTGTATGCTTTCAAAGAGGGGGTAGATTACAATCTTGGGTTGTCAGTTAGCAGTTTTGAGAACAATAATACGAAAATAACTTCAAATGAACTTTATTGACTTAAGACTTAGGGAGATTGACACAAGTCAGTCCATCTATCATCATTCCATCATGCAGGAGGAGCCACATGTCTATGGTGCATCCAACAAGATAAGCAGACTCTTGGATGTCACTACTGCCCGGCTCCAGCTGGGTTACAAGTATCTATGGCAGGTTAAATCACCACCACCAGATGTAGACCAAACGAAATGTAAACTTTGCCAGATGGACTATTGTCACCTTGCGTCATTATGTACTGGAGTGTGATCAAATTAATGAATTTAGAAACAAACTCACTCAGAAATGTTCAAGAAATGGCAAAGTATTTATCCACAGTGGTATATTACAGACCATTCTGGAGAAATACCCTGACTTTGCTAGCTGTAAATAATGCATTACTATAACGAGTTTGTTTGGTATAGCTGAAACGCGGGTGGTTAAATGATATACTTCTTCGGAAGGCTTCTTAGTTTATTGTGAAGTCGTGGTGGGTACACAGGCTTGTGTTGTACCCATGGCCCGGGAAGGGCCATCCCACGAGAGGAGAGCTACTAGTACTTGTGTCTTGCTGCTAGGCCACTGTGTGAGTGAGAGCGAGGCAAGGGCAGGCAGGCTGAAGTGGCAACGCCTATAGGTGGCAGCACCAGCATGGCGCAAAATATGAACTAAGCTGGCAGACAGCATGGGCTGTCTGTGCAGACAGTACAGGCTGTCTACATATGCTCGGCCACCTACCGCACGTCGTCCCGACGCGACAATACTGGTGGTAAAAGAAACTCGGTCTCTCTCTCCTAGGAACAGGGCACAGAACACAAAATAAAAACATACATATACAAATGGACATGGAAAAAAAACTTCCTACAGGGAGGGAAGAAAAAACATGTGGGGTGTGCTAAACATCATGGTCAAAGGCAGTGAGCGTCGATGGGCATCACTGCACGCCTTCCTGCGTCTGGACAGATACTGCAACACAGGAGACCGCTGCGGCTGAGCTGTGACGTAACAGGGTACGGTCTCCTCTGGAACGGTGAAGCAGACATTGTAGGAGTCGTTGCAGGTTTCACTCAACCTGGGGCACGACATGCTGGTGCCCTCGAGTGAGGCGTCGACAAACTCGGCAACAGGGCAGGACTTCTGGCAAGCAACTCAGGAGGACACTTCTCGACTGGTACTGTCGCTTCGCTGTCACTGCCGGCGAGCGTGGAGCGAGTTGTGGAGTGAGTCGTGGCAGAGACGACTGGGTGAACATCTGGGAGTCGTAACATCAAACACCAGACTGCAGTGAGCGAGCTAGCAGTCAAAGTGACATCTTTGTGCAGGCTGCTCACTGAGCTTGTGACACGAGGCTGACACAGCGCCTGCCGACAGTGGCTAACTGCGGCTTGGCGAGTGTCATCTCTCTGGGCAGTTGGAGTTATAGCAGAGGTTAGTCTAAGCGTCCCCAGACTTGTTTCTCTACATATAACTGCACTCTGATGGTCTGGAGGTGAAGTGAAACAAATCTCGATGGGAATCGTAGCAGGTACGATTCTGCAGAACATCACGAGCGACGAGCATAAAAGCTTTCTGTACAAGAGGGCTCGGTCACTCGGGGCTGTCTTGACATCAGCTGTCAAATGTACTGGTCACATCGGGTGACTTAGCACAGTGGTGCTACTCAGGTCTGGCTCAGACCTCACTGGATACACGGAAACTTTAAACACACCCACGGTACATGCAGTACAACATGGCTTAAACTAACAAATGATGCTTTTCTGTGCATAAAACTGACACTAAGACATATACTAAAATGTGAGAACACTGACTGACAGGAATTAACACACGACATATATCTTCTCTTAGTCTTCTCCACAATATTTTAATAATTACTGAACACTCGATGGTGACATCATGTGATGTCAGGCGTGATGTTGCGAGGTGACGTCAGCAGACATCTCGAGGTGACATCAAGCAGACATCGTGACGTCATGAAGTCGGGCAGCATCGTGGGTGACGTCGATGTGATGCGGGCAGCAGACCACAGCATGAGGCCTGGGACATCTGGTAACTCACATGGCTGGTAGATCCATGTGACATCGCCCACACCCACGTGGCATTGGGATCCACATGGTGTCGTGATCTACGTGGCATGCTGATCCACGTAGCTTCGAGTGGCCTTGGGCACTCGGATAGACAGCTCTGGCAATGAATCACGGAAAACAGCAGAAAACACAGCAGAGGGAGTGGGCAGTGGTGAGTGTATGGTAGACGGGTGAGCGTGAGTAGGGCGAGCATGGGCAAGGTGAGGAACGGCCACTTCCTCTCCTCCTCCCCCACCCACAAACACGCGGAGAAGCTCACACTGGACGCAGAAATCACCACAAAACTCACCTCTGGCTTGCTGAAACAGCTGTGCTGAGCTGAACAACAACAGCAGCAACATGCAAGTGACGCTGAACACGTGACTTGGGAAACAGCATGGGATGCTGTAGCGTGGGGTCACTTATAATTCTCAAAGAATTTCGGCTGGATCCTGCTTCTTGTACCTGTGTCTGGATGCTGAAACGTGCAGACACGACATCAGGATAACTCGCTGAGAGACGGATGCTTGTTGTGTAGGAGGATGAAATGAACAACTTCATTCCTTCCTTCCTCTCCCTGGGCAAACACAACTGCTGCAACCACCGCTTTCCACCATTTATAACGGGATTGTTTGGTAGGCTGTAAGCGGGTGGTTAATGATAAACTTCGGAGGGCTCTTAGTTTATTGAAAGGTCGTGGTGGGTACTCAGGCTTGTGTTGTGCCCATGGCCCAGGAAGGGCCATCCCACGAGAGAGAGCTACTAGTACTTGTGTCTTGCTGCTAGGCCGCTGTGTGAGTGAGAGCGAGGCAAGGGCAGGCAGGCTGAAGTGGCAACGCCTATAGGTGGCAGCACCAGCATGGTGCGAAATATGAACTAAGCTGGCAGACAGCATGGGCTGTCTGTGCAGACAGTACAGGCTGTCTACATTACCATGTGTGTGTGTGTGTGTGTACTCACCTATTTGTACTCGCCTATTTGTGGTTGCAGGGGTCGATTCACAGCTCCTGGCCCTGCCTCTTCGCTGATTGCTACTAGATCCTCTCTCTCCCTGCCCCATGAGCTCTATCATACCTCGCCTTAAAACTATGTATGGTTCCCGCCTCCACTACGTCACTTTCTAGGCTATTCCACGGCCTGACTACTCTATGACTGAAGAAATACTTCCTAACATCCCTTTGATTCATCTGAGTCTTCAGCTTCGAATTGTGACCTCTTGTGTCTGTGTCCCTTCTCTGGAACATCCCGTCTTTGTCCACCTTGTCTATTCCGTACAGTATTTTATATGTCGTTATCATGTCTCCCCTGACCCTCTTGTCCTCCAGTGTCGTCAGGCCGATTTCCCTCAACCTTTCTTCGTAGGACAATCCCCGTAGCTCTGGGACTAGTCTTGTTGCAAACCTTTGCACTTTCTCTAATTTCTTGACGTGCTTGACTAGGTGTGGGTTCCAAACTGGTGCTGCATACTCCAGTATGGGCCTGACGTAAATGGTATACAGAGTCTTAAACGAATTCTTACTGAGGTATCGGAACGCTATCTGTAGGTTTGCCAGGCGCCCGTATGCTGCAGCAGTTATCTGATTGATGTGCGCCTCAGGAGATATGCTCGGTGTTATACTCACCCCCAGATCTTTTTCCTTGAGTGAGGTTTGCAGTCTTTGGCCATCTAAACTATATTGTGCCTGCGGTCTTCTTTGCCCTTCCCCAATCTTCATGACTTTGCATTTGGCAGGGTTAAATTCAAGGAGCCAGTTGCTGGACCAGGCTTGTAGCCTGTCCAGGTCTCTTTGTAGTCCTGCCTGATCCTCATCCGATTTGATTCTTCTCATTAACTTCGCATCATCTGAAAAAAGGACCTTCGATCTATC